CTCTCTCTCTCTCTCTCTCTCTCTCTCTCTCTCTCTCTCTCTCTCTCAACAAAGGAGGAAACTATGGCCCAGAGAGGGAAAGCAATTTCCCCAAGGTCACACAGGTGGTAAATGACAGTGCTGTGATTAATACCCAAGTTCTGTGATTTCAAATCCAGTCTCCTTTCCACTAGGCCTGCTGTCTCTCTCACTGCTCATAGCTTTTTGACCTTTGAGGCAAAGAGGTTAAATGACTTGTCCAGGGTCACATAGTCAGGAAGGAAGCATTTCTAAAGTACTTACTATGCGCCAGGCATTGAGCTAAGTACTTTACAAATAATCTCACATTTAATCTTCACAACAACCCTGGGAAATAGGTGCTATTATTACCCTCATCTTTACAGTGGAAGAAAATGAGGCAAACAGAGGTTAAGTGACTTTCCCAGGGTCACACAGCTAGTAAGTGTTTAAGGCCAGATTTGAACTCAGATCTTCCTGACTCCAAGTCTAGCACTCCATTCTGTGGCAGGCATTGGAGGACTATCCAAGTGCCTCTCTCTTTCCTCCGAGTATCTGTCTGGCTTCCCATGAACACTAGGAAATTTGAAATCATAATAAATTAAAGGGAAACAACACGGCAAATTGGAAAGAACACAGTCATGGGTATGGAGAGACCTGAATTCTAGTTCCTGGCTCTGCTGCTAAGTACCTGTGTAGCTTTGGGCAGGTTAGTTTTCTTCCCTAAGCCTCAGTTCCCTCTTTTGTTATAACAGGACTCGTTATGGGGAAGGCTAGATTTGATGGTGCATCTTTCTGAACTGACTCGGTAAATATGTATTCTACCTCAGGAGGTAATTTAGCACATTGGAAAAAAGGCACCAATTCTGAAGTCAGAAGACCTAGGTTCAAATCCTGCCTTTGAAGCTGACTATTTGTGTGACCTTGGATAAGTCACATCACCTCCTTAAGCCTCATTATACCCATCTGTAAAATGAGGGGATTGAATTAGATGGTCTCTGAGGCTCTTTCCAGCTTCAAATCTATGATACTATCAGCCCAACAGTCTCCCACTATCAAGAGGACTGTTTTTATTATTATAGTTCTTAGGCCTGGTCACTATCTTCCCTCTACTGCTTTGCTTCTCACGGTCCCACCTGGACTCATTTCCACCAATTGCCTGACCCACCTTCATGGATGCAGGGGTCTTTGGGGCTCAGAAGGATATGATAAAATAGAAAAACAGAACAACAACAATAACAACAAAAAAACCCAACAAAGGGCAAGTTTGAAAATCAGAATGAAAGGCCCACTGTGCAGGGAAATTGGTAGGGGCTGGGGACAAGGAGATGGAAGCAGTTTTATTCTTGGAAGGTAGCAGAGGTAACTGAAGACCCATTTGTGAATGACATAGGCTAAAAATAGAAACTTACATAGAAATATGGACCCATAGACTGTCAGAGCTAGAAGAGACTCAAAGAAGGAGTTCTTAACCTTTTTTTATGTCCAATCTTTAGTACTCTGGGTGGAGTCTATGTACCCCTTCTCAGAATAATGTTTTTAAATGCAAAAACTAAAATATATAGGATTAAAAAGGAAACCAATTACGTTGAAATATTTTCTTTCTCATCCGAGTTCATAGTCACCTGGAAATCTATCTCTCAGGTTCAGGACCTCTGCCTTAGAGATGATTGAATCCAATTTCATCATTCTACATATGTGGAAACTGAGGCCCACAGAGGGGGAATAACTTGCCCAAAAGAGTAGAGCCAGGACTGCACCTCTGTCACAGACTTCTAAAAGGTAGTCCCAACATCTTCTTTCAGAAATGTGGAAGTCCTCACATATTCTCATGCCCCAAACACATAACCAAGCTTCCTTTCACATTCCCAGATCACATCTACAACAACTCCCTCCACACCACAAGCAAACATCCACCCATCATGTCACCCTCAAGTGCTAGACCCACACACATATGGTACCGCATGCCGCCTCTCTGCCCAACGCATTCTAAATAGCCCATCTGTCTACCTGCTTTGGCCACCTGGTCCACAGGGACTCCCAGCTCCTGAGACATGTAGCCCAGCACGGAGAAGATGGCAAAGCCAGCCAGAATGCTGGTGATTGCATTGCCCAAGGTAACAATGAATGTGTCTCTGGGAAAGGAAGAGGGATAGGGTGGGATAGGGACCACTTGGCATGACAGGCCATGACATCTCTATCCTGTTTTCCCTGACCATACTATGAGGGTCAGTTTGCCCACACTTTGACTCTCCCACCCCCCAGGGAAATGACCCTCTGGGAAGAGAAGGCTGCAGGGGACTGACCTGTAGATATTTTGGTGAAAGGTGTTGTAAGAGGCAAAGGTAAGGAGGCCCCCAAAGCCCACCCCCAGAGAATAGAAGATCTGCAAGGCTGCCTCAATCCATACCTGCAGGGGAAGAGTAGAGATGAGAGGGAGAGAGGAAAGAGGGGGAGAAAATGGAACCAGAATAAAGGAGTAGGAAGGTGACAGGAGGAGAAGGAGATGAAAGGTAAGTGGAGGTAAGGGGAAAATGGAGAGGTTGAAGAACCCTGTTGGTTGAGGAGAGATGAGGGGAGAGAAGAGACAAAAAAAATTGTCCTGGAAAGGCCCACCCTCCCTAAAGGATGACTCTTTAACCTCCTCTATCCTTCTTTCCTGATCATTCCTGGAACTGATCCTTAGGGAATGTTTGCCTGTCTGCCCAGTGTTCCAGTCCAGCTGGCTCCCTTAACTAGAGAAAAGAAAGGGAAACATCCAACCCAAACCCAAATACATCCTCACTTTTGCCCACAGAGGTACAACTATAAGAGCACCAGAATACGTATGTACCTGTAGATGGGTGTAAGCACACTGAAACACCCAGAGCCCCTCTTACTTTCCATCCCTGCTCTTATTCCCTACCCCACAATATGCTGGGCTGCCCCTCCCTCAGTTCCATAACACATAAATAAACCCTATGAGGTGGAGAACAGCCTCCATCTTGCTCTTCCTTTCCTTCCCCTTCTCTCCCCGCTCCCTAACCCTCTACTTCAATCCACCTACCTTGGAAGTTAGAAGGTGATCAAATTGGGGTGTGAGATAGAACTGGATCCCTCTCCAGGCACCCTGAAGTGTCAGCCCCCGAACCAGCAGCATGAGGAGGATGAGGTACGGGAAGGTGGCTGTGAAATACACCACCTGTAGAGGAGACAAGGAATGGGAGCCTAGGATGGAGCTGAGGAAGAAGGGCAGCTCTCCACGGTCCTGATTATCTGTGCTCTGGATAGAGTGTCAGACTTCCGGATTCAGGAAGATCTGAATTTGAATCCAGCCTCAAACACTCAGCTGTATGACCTCAGGCAAGTAATTTAACCTCCCTTGGCCCCAGTTTTCTTATCTGTAAAATGAGTATAATAATAGTACCTACCTTACAGGGTCATTGTGAGGATCAAAAGAGCTAACATAAGTAAAGTGCTTTATAAATATCAAAGTGCTATATTATCATCACCTTCCTATCTGGGGCTTTTATGGGCTTCAGAAAAAGGAAGAAGTCTGTTCTGTTGGTCATTTTAGAGCTGTCTTCCCTGGAATATTTCTTTATATTCCTCTATTAGATAATGAGGTCCCTGGAAGCAAAGATTAAGTCTTTTTCATTTCGGCATCTCCCCCACATTAACTTAGCATAAAGCCTTGTACATGGTAGTTATTTCCCAGGTATCTCTGAGCAGCTGGTGGAACTCAGGGTCTCATAGTTCCTACCCTAACCTGAGCCAGGACAAGCCTCCCAAAGTCTCACCTTGCCAGAGGATTTTACTCCCTTGAGGATGCAGAGGAAGACGATGACCCAAGACAGTAAGAGGCAGAGACAGAGCTTCCATTGAATCTCACCCGGATCTCCGATGCCTGTACTCCCTTGGATGTGGAGGACATATCGGCTAGGGCAAAAGAAAGAGGCCTGAGTGCCCCAAGGCTGTAGTTACCATATTCTAGGACAGGATAGATATACCAACTCAAAACCCACCAGGCCTCACATCCAGGACCCCAGCAACCTCAAGTCTTCCTTCAGTATCTATGCCTACATACACAGAAATAATTTGAAATCCCTGAGTAAAGGGAAATCTTTGCCCTGTTCCTACATCTGAGAAATCAGATTGATAGGGAATTAGCATTAAACTCCATGTAATGACAGTCACTGACCTAGGAAGTCAGGAGACCTAATTGTAACTCACTGTGTGACCTTGAACAAGTCATTTATCTCTGTGAGCCTTGGTTTCTTAATAATAAAATTCCAATTTATGTGGAACTTTCACATTCACAAAGCATTTTCTGTACTCTAACCATTACAACAGGCAGATACGTTACTATTCCCATAAAACAGGTGAGGAGACTGAGGTGAGGAGAAATTGAGGAACCAAGAGAATCTCAGAACTACAGGTGACCTTGAAAATCATCTCACTTGAGCCATCCCTGAACCAGATTCCCTCTACAGCATCCCCCAACATCCAGCCTCCACTTACAAACCTCCAGAGAGGAGGAATCCTCTATTTCCCAAGGCAACCCATTCCACTTTGGGACAGCTATAATTGTTAGGAAGTTTTTTCCTAATGTGGAGCCAAAATCCATCTCTCTGCAACTTTCCCAAAGCTGGACAAGTCCAATCTCTCTTCTCTTGACAACCCTAAAAAATACTTGAAGATAGCTATTGTGACATGCTCCTTCTTCACCCATCAACACAGACTTGAGTCTTCTTGTCTGGCAAAATATTCTGTTGTGCAGCCAGTGAGTTTGTTAGACCCAGGACCCAAACACAGATTTCCTGATTTCAAGTTCAGTGGTCTTTCCATTTTTTAGGAGGGGGGCCAGACCTGTGATTTTATTGGTAGTGAAGACTCCCTCCTCTCCAATTTATGGTCTTAGAAAGTTGCCTGGGGCATTAAAAGGTTGAGAACTTGACCAAGGTCAACCAATCAGTATGTATCAGAAGAGGACTTGAGCCTTCCACACTGCCCTCAGTCTTTCCCACTGCCTCCATAGCTTTTCCACTATATGCCACAGGAGTGTTTCTCATATTGCTATCAGAAAGCCTGAAACACCCCAAGTTTGTAATTTTTTAAAAATAACGAACCTTATGTTGTTTGTTTGTAGGCATGAAAAATAATGATTTTAGACAACTTTACTACAAGGGTTCTAGCACTGTGGGGAAGTTGGGGGACTACTGTGCTATTGAATGAAGGGACTATGGGGTTCTTAAGGCCCTTTTCCATCTATAAGAGGCTCTGGCTCCAGGGCTTCTCCACAATTTCTGAGTCCTTTGGAGTGAGGCTACAGTGCCCACTGGGACTCTGGCACACCAAAAGCCATGACCCAGGGTCCAGGGCAAGCTGGTGCCATGCATAAGAAACTCCCTCCTTCCTCCCTTGCTCCCCAAACCTTTGGCCAGCTGGCCTGACCTCCAGTACTCCTCGCTGGGGCTGACAGTGTTGGAGATGTTGAGGGGCAGTGTGCCATTGGCTTCTCTCATTGCACGGTGGTCCAGGCAGAGGTCCGTGTTCCACCAGTTACCACAGTGCTGCCAGGGCAGGTGGCTGGTTAGGGAGGCGAAGAGGTAGAACAAGACGTAGGCGATGATCATGTTGTAATAGATGGCCACCAGGGAGACGATGATGAGCATGGCCACGCCAACACCTGCAGGGCCCACACAAGGGGAGCAGTGGAGGCAGCCTCACTGCTGCCTTCTCAGCCCTCCTGCTTCCTTGGCAGGCAGAAATGGGCCCAATGACTCAGATACCCCACCACCACCCAAAGGTCCACATCAGCATGCTATGGGATTTTGGTATAGGGGAAAAAGCATTGAACTTGAAATCTGAGGACCTGGGTTCAAATCCTGGCCCTGCCTCTTGCTGGCTATGTGACTTTGGGCAAAATAATAAAGATAGCTAGCATTTATATAGCACTTTAAAGTTTGGAAAGCACTTTACAAACATTTTTATCCTTACAATAACTCTGAGAGGTAAGTGCTATTATTATCTACATTTATAGATGAGGAAACTGAGGCAGAGAGAGGTTAAGTAAATCACCCAGAGTGTCACATAGCTAGGAAGTATCTGAGGCCAGATTTCAACTCAGGTCTTCTGGATTATGGGTCCAGCTCTCTATTTAGTGTGCCATCTAGCTACCCCTGGACCTCAGTTTCCTTATCTATAAAATGAAGGGGTTGGACTAGATGATGTCTGAGTACCCTTCCAGATCTAAAATAATTATCTTGAAATCTCTTGTGAACCTTGACTTTTCCCTATATGGAGAATAGCCATGATAGGATGGCAGAGATGTTTCAAAGAGCCTGGAGCCCACTGACATGCTCCAGGCAAGTACTCCCTATCTCCCTTTCAGTCCTAAGTTGTTGGGTGGCAGAGATGCAGGAAGGCCAAAAGGATTGCTCTGTGGTGTAAATAAGGGGCTTTACCTTTGAAAAGAGGGCTGATCTTCCACACAGCAAGTGGGCCCAAGCTAGAGAACTGGCCCAGGGAGAGCTCCAGGAAGAAGAGAGGGATGCCACAGATGGTTAGCATGATGAAATAGGGCACAAGAAAGGCACCTGAAAAGATAGGATAGGGGAAGGGGAGAGACCCCAGATGGGCAACCTTAGGGGAATCTTACTCTGCACATATGGCTAAGAAGTGAGGAGGTTATATCTTCTCTCTGCCTTTCTCTCCTTCCCCTCTCTCCTTTTCCCTTCCTCTCTTTCCCTTCTTCTTTCCTTCCTTTTCTCTCTCTCTCTCTGTCTTACTGTCTCTGTTTCTTTATGTCTTTCTCTGTCTCTCTTCTTGTCTGTCTATATCTCTTGCCCCCCCCAACTTAGTCAGTCATTGTGTGTGTGTGTGTGTGTGTGTGTGTGTGTGTGTCTATCTGTCTCTGTCTCTTCTGTCTTTCTTGTCTGTCTATATCTCTTGTCCCCACCCCCAAATCTGGTCGGTCATTATGTGTGTGTGTGTGTGTGTGTGTGTGTGTCTATGTGTGTGTGTGTGTGTGTGTGTGTGTCTATGTGTCTGTCTCAGCTTTTTCTGTCTGTCTCTATCATTCCCCCTCCTCTCCCTCCCCCCTCTGCCTCCTCCTCCCCCCCTTTCCTCTTTTCTCCCCCCCATCCCCCCACCCTCATTTCTCTCTGTGGCTTTTAACAAGTTACTTCCTCTATCTGGACCTATTTCTTCCTCTATAAAATGAGCAGGGTGCACTTAATTTCCCAGAACAGACATTTTCTCTTCCATTTGAAGGTCCCTCCCAGCTCTGGTAGTCCATGTTCTAAAGTCCAGACCACCTCTAATGCCTCTTCCCCTGCCAGTGGATACCAGTAAGATATTGCCACCCTTGGAGCAGTTTAACCCAAACACACAAATCAGACTTGAAGTTGGGAAGCCTGAACTCCAATCCAAGATTCTTTATTTACTAGCTAGGTGACCCTGGGCAACTTACACTCTCTGGGAGTCAGTTTCCTGATCTTAAAATGATGACAGTAATACTTGTATTTCTTTCTTCACAGGATTATCATGAAGAAAGTTCTCTGTAAACTTTAAGCACTATAGAAATGTAAGTTGTTATTTTTGGCTTGGACTTATGATTCCATTAGGAGAGGGAATTCCCAACGAGGAAAACCCCTTCTATCGATGCAGATCAGCACCATTGTAAATCAGCAATTTACAATCTTAAGAGTATTGCTGCTATTGCTGCTGTTGCTGCTGGTGTTATTTAGTGGAGTCTGACTCTTGCTGACCCCATTTGGGGTTTTCTCGGCAAAGATACTGGAGTGGTTTGCCATTTACTTATCCAGCAGCCAGGTGGGACGGTGGCTAGAGCTCCAGGCCTAGAGTCAGGAAGACTCATCTTCCTGAGTTTAAATTTGACCTCAGATATTTACTAGCTGTGTGACCCTGGGCAAATTACTTAACCCTGTTTCCCTCAGTTTCCTCATCTGCAAAATGAGCTGGAGAAGGAAATGGCAAACCACTCCAGTATCACTGCCAAGAAAATCCCAAATGAGGTCATGAAGACTCTTCCTGATCCCAAGTCTAAGCAAACAGGGTTAAGTGACTTGCCCAGGGTCACACAATTAGTAAGTGTCTGAGGCCAGATTTGAACTCAGATCTTACTGACTCTAGGTCTGGCACTCTATCCATTGCTCCACCTAGCTGCCCAGAGAATTGTTAGAATCACTGAAAGATTAAGTGTTCTGTTCAGGGCCATACAGTCAGTGTGTAGGAGGTAAGACTTGAACCCAGGACTTCCCCAACTTGGAGATCAGCTCTCTATCCACACTATTCCCCCCCCCAGCAGAGCCAAAACACAGTGGTGCTGAAAGGATAGTCTGTCACTTGAGGTTAAGCAGGTTAAAGACCATTTCAAGGCTTATTATGTGAACTCCTGAACAACCTGTCTTTCAGCTGTGGGGAGGCAGCACAGGATGCTGGAAAGAATATTAGAATAGGAAAAACTGGGCTTTAATTCAGATTCTGACACTAGCTATGTGCCATAGGCAAGTTGTTAAACCTCTCAGAATCTGGACTTGCAGTCAAAGGACCTGGATTGGAATAATGGTTCTGCCTGCATTCCCTGTGTGATTTTGGGACAGTCTCTTCATCTATCCCAGGGGTGGGGAATCTGTGACCCTGAGGCCACATGTGGCTCTCTAGGTCCTCAAGTGTGGCCCTTTGACCAAATCCAAATTTCACAGAACAAATTGTATTGTTTGGATTCAGTCAATGGGCCGCACTTGAGGACCTAGAGGCCACAGATTCTCCATCCCTGCTGGCCCTTGGTTTGAAAAATTAGGAAGCTTGACTAGATCTCTGAGGCACCTTCCAGTGCTAATATGCTATGATCAGGGTGCTTCAGACTCCTCATTCATTAAATAGGCATAATTGTTCCTATTGCTTTTTTGGCAAAGGAACCTTCAATGGTTTCCCGTTAGATTCTAAATAAAGCCCACATTTCTCAGTCTTCCATTTGAGACCCTATGAAATCTGGCTTTAACTGACCTAGTCAGTAGGTAGTTGGGTGAACATAGTGCTCATAGGTGCTGGGCCTTGAATCAGGAAGACCTGGGTTCAAATTTGGCCTCAGACACTTACTGGCTGTGTGGCCCTGGGCAAGTCACTTAACCTCTATCTTAACCTCCGCTTCCTCAACTGTAAAATGGGGATAATAATAGCACCTACCTGACAGGGTGGTTGTGAGGATCAAATGAAATAATAAGTGTAAAGTGCTTAGCACAGTGCCTGGCACATAGTAGGTGCTTAATAAATGCTTGCTTCCTTCCTCTCCAGACTTGCCTCTATGTACAATGTGTTCTAGCCACACTGGATCTTGTCCTTCTGGCTCCTCACAATTAGTCACACTGCTCCCTACACTTAGCCTTCCTCTTCCATTATTATCTATGGCATTTCCCATTTTTTCCCAGACTCACCTCGAATTCCAGCTCCCTCAGGAAGCCTCCCCTGAACTCTCCAGTCAGAAACTATCTTTTCCCTCCTTGGTGCTCACCCACCTCCTTGCTTTGTACTTTTAACCTTGCATTATGGTACTTTTCTTATCCTATGTCCCTAGTAGATATTGAGCTCCTTGAGAGAAGGGAATCCATTTTGTTCGTCTCTGTATCTTCCGCAGCACCAGGCACAGATCTCTGCACAGAATAAGACTTAAAGCACATTTCACACGGAGGAGAGAAGTGCTTCTCACAGTACAAAGCCAGCTCTTTATCCATCAAGCTGCGGGTGGGAGAGGCCGAGGCCCTAGGTGGGCCTAACCTTCTCCCCCATAAATCCCAGTGGGAGGCCAGGAAGGAAGCCAAGGTCCAGGAAGAGGCTGACCAGAGCTGTCTCAGGAAAGTTAAGTGATGAGCTAATGAGGAGAGTGGAAGGTCCTTAAGGGGGCAGGACCTCGCACCTGGCACATGGCCTGGAACAAAGTCAGCATTTAAGAAATTATTGTAGAATTGAATTGTATCTTCAGGGTATCATTGTTGTTCGGAGGAGGCATAGCATGTTAAAGCTGGAACTCAAATTCTATAAGCATCAAACACTGACCAAGTAGATGTACACTGTGCTAGGTGCTGGGTATTCTAGTTAGAAAGAGAAGAGGCAAACAGTACCTGCCCTAAGAGCTTATAGTCTAATGGGATTGGGGGATGGGAATAGAAACTGTACCCAGAGAAGTACATACTATGTATAGGCAGCTCAGTGGATAGGACTTGGAGTAGAGAAAATCTGGGTTCAAATCCTGAGTCAGACATTTATTATATGTGTGACCCTGGGCAAGTCATTTAACCTCAAGTTTTTTCATTTGTAAAATGGGAATACTACTAGCACCCACCTTCCAGAGTTGTTGTGAGGATGAGCTAACATGTGTAAAGGGCTGCATTAAGCAACTGCTAGTTAATGTTATTAAATCCAAGGAGATTTGAGAAGGAAGAGAGCAACAGCAATCAAGAACTTGATTGTGTGATTAGAAAGACATTTGAAATCTTATAGTCCAACCCTTTTATTCTATAGAGGGAGAAACAGTCTCAGAACGATGTAATTAGAAAAATATCTGAGATTTTATAGTCCAGGCCTAGAGGGATGAAGACTTGACTTGGCTAAAGTCATCCAACAAGGACCAGAACTGGAGCCCACTTGGTCTCCTCAATCCCATTATCAGACTTCTTACCACTTCATCGTGCAGCCCATACCTTTTGTTTTATTTTTGTTTTTGTTTTGCTAGGCAATGGGGTTAAGTGACTTGCTCAGGGTCACACAGCTAGTAAGTGTGAAGTGTCTGAGGCCGGATTTGAACTTAGGTCCTCCTGACTCCTGGCCTGGTGCTCTATCCACTGAGCCACCCAGCTGCCCCCAGCCAATACCTTTTGAGTGAGTTTTTTAGTTAGAGATACCAAAGTCTTGAACTGTTCCCCTTCCCCCCAGTTAGAGAGGATGAGGGAGGGAGGGAATCCAGGCAGAGAAAGAGAAAAGGGATGTGGGAGAAAGAGGAGAGCAGAAATAATGAAGAGGGAAAAGAGGGAACAGAGCAAGATAGGAGAGAAAAAGGAAGAAGAGAAAGACTGATGACTTTTGGTTGTTTTCTAGGGTTTCAGCCTTCTGCTACAGAACGAGAGTTGGGGGAAGGCTGAAAAGTCTTGGGAGCTAGAGTAGATAAGGTCATGCCTGGAGCCCAGTTCTCTGGCACTTTACCCGGCCCCTTCTACTCCTTCCCCCCTGCCAGCCTCCAATTTAATTGAGTAATTATGGAATGGGCAGGAATCACACTTCACTTTGATAGAGACAGACGGATAGATAGATAGATAGATAGATAGATAGATAGACAGATGGATAGAGACAGGTACTGGGGAATACACACAAGATGGTCTCTGCCCTCAAGGAGCTTATGTTCTAATGGAAGAAGACAACACATAGAATGGATCCCCATGGGCCACTCTGTCAGCATAACCCCATCCTAACGCAAGGATGGGTCAAAGGTCCCCTACCTCCTCCGTTGGTGTAAGCACGATAGGGGAAGCGCCAGACGTTGCCTAGGCCCACACAGTAGCCAATGCAGGAGAGAAGGAAGTCCAGCTTCCCTGTCCAGTTTCCACGGTCTGCGGTAAAGTCTATGTCCAGGTCTCCATCACCCTGATCACTAGGGGTCATCAGTAGATCTGGAGTCACAGGCTGCCAGCAGAAGGATGGGGAGAGGAAGAAGAAATCCAAAAGGCAGAGGTCAGGCCTAACCTGACTCCACCCCCCCACCCCCACCCCAACACTGTAGGAAAGGCACCCTTCCTACCTATACCAAGTCAAATCAACAACCATTTATTAAGTATTCGCTATGAGCCAGACACTGTGATATCTGCTGGGGATACAAAGAAAGGTAAAGACAGTCCCTGCCCTCATAGAGCTCACAGTCTAACGGAAGAAACAACACAGAAACAACTATGTACAAACAAGACATATACCAGATACCTCCTCTTGCTTCTTAAGTTTCTGGACACAAGAATGATGAGAGCTGGAGAAACCTATGAAACAAGGACAGAAAGGAAGGGAGAGCAGAGCCATGAGGGCTGTCTGGAAGGCAGAGTGTCTCCTACTAAAAGATAGAGCTAACTGGCGAAGAAGGAGGTCATACATTGCTCATCTTCCCCGAGCACTCAGCAATCCACCTTTTCAACAAAGAGTAAGTTACAAGAGAAGATGAATGTCAAATCAGGCCAAAGGCTTAAGAAATTAAAAAAAAAAGGCAACTCCTTTCTCACTATGTTGCCTGGGAAAATTCATGGAAGGGGCAAATCAGGCTGTAATCCATGATCAGTACTCAATACTTATTGAGTTGAATTAAATTTTACTATCCATCTACTGCCTAGTACAGTTTTTGGCATTCCCTGGACACTCATGTCAAATGATGGTGATGATAATGGGAACATATTGAGGTGAAAGTGAAAGTGGTGACTGAATAGTTATTTGTGTTTGTGTTTTCTCTCCTTCCTTGGTTGTAAGTTCTGGAAGGACAGGGCTTATTGTTTTATTTACACTTTGTGTGTCTCCTGGATATTCTCTTGGTCACCTACCTAGGGAAGATACAAAGTTTATTATTACCAAAACAGACAGCCAAATAACTTTCAACAACTACTGACCCACATGACTACTTTTCATCCACATGAAAATATTGAGGACCTCCTTGATAATGGTATTAAAAGGGATCAGGCAGGCAAATATTCCACCACAATATTCCACAGCAGACTATGTCTTCGGTATCATCCACTTGACTGGAAAGTATAGAGGATACAGGTGTTTATTGTGTTATTCATTGATTATAACTAAAAGTGTTTGGTTCAATACAGCGAAATGCTTCCTTAAAAGGTTCCCTCCAACAAAGTGTCAAAATGATGGAAGATTTCTAGAAAGGTTTAACAGTGCAAATAACTTTGTTTTACAGCCCTCCGCTTGTTAATATCAAGTGAAGCATAAAACATGGAGATGTGCTTGCCAAAAGCACTTGGCTCTGTCATAGAGAAGTCCAGCAGAGTTCATGTCAAAGAGGGATTCTCTCTATGCTCTTGGTCACAGATGACATTCTGCTGATTGCATCAAGCCCTGGCATACTGCAAAGTCTCCTGAATGGGCTCCAAGATCATGTAAGTCAGTCTGGCCCAATTCTCTACATGAGAAAAACCAAGTAGAGAAATAATGACTATTGACCAGACTATGATATGTAATTGGATGAGTAACCTGTGGCATTCATCCATCACTGTATAGATCTGGGACTGACTTTGCAAAATGACACTAAGTAGAGCCCAGATTTAAATAGGAGGAGAGTAGGATGGATTGCATTTGGAAAGCTGAAAAGTTCTTCTAAGAACCCATCTTCCTATTTTTTTTCACCAATACTCTTTAATACTACATGGCTGTGTCATAGAACACTATGGTCTCCCAAGAACTGAGGTTGAGGATCCTCCAGCGGGCAATGGAGAAGTGCATAGTGAGCACGAGCAGGCTGAAATGCATTACAAGCAAAGATTCCATGAAAGGTATGTACAACCAGAAAGAAAAAAGAATGGGTTTTTCATGAGCAAAAATAAAGGATAATTGATGAACAGGTAAGCCTGTAGACTCATACCATTGCTGCCTATGAAATACAAAGAGCATGTGAAGGTTTCCAGCATATTGGATGGTCTTCCCATAGTGAACTTAAGAGAGGACATAAATGAGAGTCACTGAGGATGGGCAGACATGGGTGGATGGCAATCCATATTGTTGAAGGGAATAGTTACATGAATGAAATCATAGATTTCCTGAAATAATGGAGTACCTCCTCTTACACTGTGCTCTGTACATTATTTTCTCCTGTTATTTCATTGGCAAAGGGAGTTCCCTGGGGTGACTTCTCCTACCAATGTCTTAGAAAGGTGCTTAGAGCATTGAGGGGTTAATGACTTGCCTAGGATTATATAGCCACCATGTGTCAGAGGGGGACTTGAACCCAGATTACCCTGACCATCCAGGCTGGCTCTCTATCTCCTAAACTGCCCTGCTTCTCATAAAGATTATGATCTCTTGAGATCAGGGAATGTGTTTCTTTGAATCTCCAGCACTTAGCAAAGTGCCTGGCACATAGTAGGTGATTAATAAATGTTTACTGATTGACTGACATGGTAGACACAATGTTTGCTCAATGAATGACCTCACTGACAGTGATGATGGAGGCCGCTGATGGTGGTGATGACAGGCACCACTTTTGCTCATAATGGTGACAGTGAGAGTGATACTGGTGTAGCAGCTATTCCAGAGGGATAGTACTAAGGGTTAACCATTCAACAGCTCTTTCACTCCATTCATGGCACATGCATCATAGTGACTTTTCCAGCTGGGCTTAGATCTGCTAGAAACAAGCCCTCTGCCAAGCCCTCAGCACTCCAGGCCTGCTTCCTCTCCTTCTGCCTGGTTAACCCTCTTCTAGAACCTCTCCTTCACAGCTGAACCCTAAAAGCAATAAGAAAACACCAGGACGTGGTGATGCCTGGCTTGGGCGAGAGTAGCTGTTAGCAAGAGCGGGTAGAGTTTACAAGATGCCAGGTGGCCCGGCACCACCCCAAAACCCCCTCTCCAGAGGCACAGGCAGCCGGAGGAACCAGCTAATGAGGCCGTTCTCCCCACTCCCTGGGAAGAAGCTGCCCTTTTCCGCTCTGTTTCCATGGTGACAAAGAGTTCTGAGAGTAGGATGCTTGCAGCTCATTTCCACCCTCCCCCACCCCACCCCATTCAGAGAGAGGCCTGTTCCTGTTTCAGGGAGGAGAGGAGGGCCTAGTGGTAGGACCATGGTCTGGGCTTAGTTACCTGGACACTTAGCCTTACTATGGATCTAATCCTCATAGGCTAGCAAAAAAAGAATGAGTTAATGTAGAAAGGAAGAAGGAAAGCATTATAAAAAATAGGACAAGATCAGCCGTGCAATAAATAAATCCATTAGTACATAGGCCTGTGAGTATATATGTGTTTCTATATGTGTGATTCTGTATCTCTTTGATACTTCAAAAGAACTGTGATTTTATTGCTGCCAATGTTACTGCTGCTGGCACAGATCACAACCTGTCCACATCTCTCTAGACAGTTTCATTGAATTGCCATAGCCCCTTCCAAAATTTAAAAAAATTGCTTGGTTGCAAACGTTCTGGTGATGCGTGCATCTCTGCGCTTAGCTAGGCTGACTGGTCCTCAGATAGCAGACACATAATTCTTTGCCAGGCCCATACTCAAAGCCTTTCTAGTTTGGCAAGACCTCTCAGAGCTTACATTACACTGGCATCTACCATCTCCATTCAGTTTATATGACAGGTATGTGTGAATATGCATATGTAGAAATAGATATATCTATGTATGTAAAATATTTATCTCCCCTCCCAGGAATAACACATTACAGAGGGCATGGAATCCAGAACTCAGCTCCTAGAACAAATAGCTTTAACCCAACTGCATTTTTTTCTGGAAACAGTCCTCTAGCTTTCCAGCCTGGGATGCTGCTGGTGGCTGATGGTTGGAGATTTCTAGAGGGGAGAGGTATTGGGAAGCTGGATAAAGTGAAAAGGGAAATAGTAGGAGATCAGCTTCAGGATGGAATAGAGAGACGATGGATGGTGGATAACTCAGCATCACTGGATGCCAGCCCTACTACCCACAATGTTAATGGGAATGGGTTTTGATTCTGAGCCCAAGCTCAGTCACAGACAGTTGCCATCTGATCAGAAAGAGGTTGAGGTAGGGGTGGGGGTGGTGTAGGTAAAATAATGAGGTGAAAGAGGATAAACTTCTGCCTCTGGGGAATCAGACTAAGACTTTCTGGGTTGGAAACTGACCCAAAGTATGAGAAACTTTCTTGTTCTATACTCCCACAGCCTGAGTATCCTCTCCCAAAGGCCAAATTTCTTAAACTTTCTCCCCAACAAGGTAATTTTTCATCAGACAGGAATATAGAAATACAAGGGAGACATATCCTTATGTCCCTCTTGGTAGAGTGGAAAGAATATTGAATTTGGGGTCAGAGCACCTGGGTTGAAATACCCTATTTCCTGCCAACCACTCCTGTATCCTTGCAAGGGTACCTTAACATTTCTGAGTCTGGGTTTTCTCAGCTGTATTTAATGGAGTTAACATTTGAGGTACTTGTAAGAGTACTGTGGGGAACAAATGAGATGTGCATGAAAAACATTTTGCAAATCTCAAATAGCTTTGTGAATATCAGCTATCATCCTTAACTTTACTGCTAAATTGATGCTACCAGTAACACTGATGAGGAGAGGATCAGGACTGGAACCTGACCTAGTTAGGTCCTGCTTCTTTCATGTATCCATCTTTCTTGGCTTCTCTGGCTTCCCTCTCTTCATCTCTGTATTCTGCTTACCAACCACTACTGCCTCTATTCAGTTTTCTCCGGTGCTCACTTGTAACTCTCCTGGTCTTTCCTCCCCAGTTCCCCTTCCATCTCTTGCTCTAGATCCTTCTCTCAGTCTTTCTAGCCAGAGACTGGAGAGGGGGAGGGGAAGACAGGTCCAAGAGAGCAGGTGAAGGACAAATGCTTCGATCCTATGAGGCAGGAGAGCAGGGTGGTAGGGAGAATTAAAAGGGTTTCCTCTGCAGGGATATTCCAGGAATATTCCATGGATGTTCCAGGGAAGATCCAGGTACATAGGGCTCACTATCCTCTGGATCCCTGCTCTTTCTGGTCCAATGCCCAGAGATCTAGGAGCAGAATGGAAGGAGGTAGGTTTGATCAACCATCAACCTGCGAGGTGAAGAGGGACCCAAAACACACCTTTGTAGAACTGGGGGATTTTTTTTTTAGCAAGAGGTTCGACCACCCCGCGCCCCCCTCCCAGCCGCATTCCAGCCATACCTCACAAATGCAAACACCTGTTCTCCGGACAACCCTGCAATCTCATGGCCGGGCTCTATCAGTGTTTGTTTATCCAGCTCCCTAATTCATTCCTTGGCCCTTAGAAAAGAGCCCACCTGTGCCCGCCAACCCAGACCGTCTTTTCCGGGCCATCTGAGCCACCCGTGGGCTGGCTGGCTGGGCCGGTGGCCTGCAGAGCCCCTGAGGCTCAGGGAACATCATTCCTTCGCCGAGGCACCCCTCCCTCCATTCCCCTCGGTGCCCAGGCACACCATCCTCAAGCGCGCCCAGCCCCGCCGCGTCACGCTGCCTCTTACCTCGCCCAGGTGGGATGCCTGGCGCCGCTTCATTCTGCAGGGCCCCGGACCGGCCAGATGCTCCCTCGCACGCCTCCGTTCCCGCCCCCTCTCAGAATCCCCCCGCGCTGGAGGCGCGGCGTGCAGAGAGCGCCTGGCTCGCGGCTGCTCCGGCTCGCCCGCCTGCCTCTGCCCGCAGCGCCCGCGCCCGCTTGCTGCCTGCCTCTCTCTCCGCGGCGCACGCGCTGCCGCCCGTCTGCGGGGAGTTACCGGCCTGGCCAGGCGAGGGAAGCTCTGGAAGGGAGCATGGGCTAAGGGCGGTGTGGGGCTGAGGGGCTCCGGCCGAGGACAACCGAGGAAGCCAAGGAGAACTGCATGCTCACTCCCCCATCGCTCCCCTGCCCCGGCCCACCTAGAGCTTTTCCCCTGATTTGACCTGGAAGGAAATGGATGCCTCAAGCCCACCTAATCAGGGTCTGGAAATCAGGAGACCCGAATTTGAGTCTTACCTCTGCCACTGAGTCACTGTGTGACCTTAGGCAAGTCACTTCAATCCTTCTCGGTCTCCACTTCCTCCTCGATGAGGAACAATATGAGTTCCAAGATTCTTTCCAGTTCTAAAAAGTCCAGGAAAACATTGGCACAGTGAAGATGTAAGAAATGGAAAGCTGCCAACTGTCTGACCCACAGCCTGAGAAAGGAAAGGAGGAGTTGAGATGTGTCTGGAAGCTACATCTTGCAGCTACTTTCTATAATTGGCCAGTGAGGTAGGCTCTGCCACACTGGGCAGAAAAGCCTGCCTCACCTCTGACACCTACTAGCTGTATGGGCAAATTATTTAACCTCTATGAGGCTCAGTTTCCTTATCTAGTAACTCCTACTACTTACCTCATGGGTCGACCACCTTCCAATCATAAGGCCCTACTTCTCAACACAGACAAGAACTGGGCAGATCATTCCCCATCATTAGTACTTGTTGCTACTTTTCTTGCACCTTCCTTTCCAGGGGTGGGGAACCTGTGGCTTCGAGGCCACATTGGACTGGAGGCCACAGGTTCCCCACCCCTGATCTAGTCCACTTTCTTCCTTTTACAGATAAGGAAACTGAGAGCCAGGGAGGCTAAATGAGGGTTTGAACAGAATATGTTGGGGTTGGAGAAATGAGCAGGAGGGCCCGAGTCTCATTCATTTCAGGATTCACCAAAGGATAATCATAATTTTTTCTCATATGTACAGATTTCAAAGTGTTTTTATAGCCACCATATGCTATATCTACCTTGTGGGCTTGGTAGGGCAGAGATTATTATACCTATTTTACCAATAAAAAAATTGAGGCTGAAAAGTGAAATGTCTTGCTATGGTCATACAGCTAACGGGTAGATAAAGGCAAAACTTGAACTCAGATCTTCTGACTACCAACCCAATATTCTTGCCCAATTCAGTTCACCTAGCACTGTGCTAGACACACAATGTTGTTACTGTTCAGTAGAATCTGACTCTTCCATGAACCCATTTGGGGTTTTCTTGGCAAAGATACTGGAATAGTTTGCCATTTCCTTTTCCAGCTCATTTTACAGATGAGGAAACTGAGACAAACAGGGTTAAGTGACTTGCCCAGGGTCACACAGCCATCAAGTGTCTGAGGCCTGATTTAAACTCACAAAGATGAGAATTCCTGACTCTAGGACCAACACCCTATCTACTGCACCGTCTAGCTGTCTAGACCCACAATAGCTTCTGTAAATGTTTGTTAAATTAAATTCTACAAACTTTTGGACTGTTTTGCTCTGCGTACATTCACCTTACAACATTCAGGAGTTTTCCTGATCCCCTTTTACTCACAATTACCACTCTAGACACAAATATCTCTTCTCTAACGTTTCCTCTATCTCTTCCTCTCCCTGCTACTGCCCCCTTGTGTGGGCATCTCTGTCTCTGGACCTCTTCTCTTTCTATGCTCTACCCCAGCGGTGATTTTATCTAATCCCAAGACAAATGCAGATGATCCCCAAATCTACATTTGTAGCCCTGACCACTTCCTTGAGCTCCAGTCCTGCATTTCCAAATGTCCATGGGACATCTCTACTTGGATACACATACCACGCCTCCCCTTGGTACCTCAAACTCAGCATGTCCAAAAACAACTCATTTTCCCTTCCAAAAACCCGCCCCTTCTCCAAACTTCTCTATTTCTATTTATGGCATCGCCATCTTCCCAGGAAGGTAACTCGGAATTGTCTGTGACTCTTCCCTCTCCCTCACCTCACATATTCATGCAGCTGATATGTTCTTGTCGTTTCAACATTCACAATATCTCTCATACTTATGTCTTGCTTTCTGCTCTTACTGCAGCTAACCTCATCTTCCTTACCTAAACTATTCTAATAGTATCCTAATAGGACTTCCTGCCTCCAGGCTATCCCCTCTCCAAGCCTTCCTTTACATCTTAGCCCGGGGCCATCTCCAGTTGTCCTGATCAGTATCTTGCCACTGGACCCAGATGGCTCTGGAGGAAAAAGCGAAGCCGAGGACTTTGCACAGCCCTACCTCCCTTAAATTCAATGCACTTTCAAGTCATGACATTACTTTCCTGATGTCATGATCCTCTTCTAGTATGAAGGACAAATAACAACAACAACAACAACAACATCTCACTCCAGGTAATTTTCTTGTCCTGGAGAAGAGGCAATGAACCGCACACGCTTCTTCTCTCATGGCAGAGAGGTAGAGGACTAGTAGGAAAGATTATTGTATACATTGTCGGACAAGGTTTCTACATTGGATGTTTTTGCTCATTTTTCTTTTGTCACAGGGATGATTCAGTCTAGAGTGGGGTAGATGGGAAATGATGATGCAAATACATAAAGCATCAATAAAGCATATTTAAAAGCACAAAGTACTATATTTAATGTGCTACTTTGATAATTTTACTTATTTAAATATTTATTTAATGTATTACTTTGATCAATTTACTTATATTTCCTTGTTAATTACCAGATAAAGAAAACAGGTTTTTTTTTTCTTTTTAGCATATAAGGCTCAGTAAATCAGCAGTGATGACAAAAGATACAAAGGGTCAATGCTGGAGGGGCTGTGGAAAGAATGGCTCATACACTATTGGTGGAGCTGTAAATTGATCTAATAGTTCCAATAAGCAATTTGGATTTTGTTTAGAAAGGGACTAAAATGTCATCAAGACTCCTCCTTAATGCCCAGAAAACTCCTTCATCCTGGAAGGTCACTCCAGTCCTGGAATTCACACCTCAGAAGTACCTTCAACCCTTGTGGCCTCTCTCAGAATGCCATTTAAGGGGTGAGGAGCTGGACCAGGCCAGCAACCTCTTTATATCTCACCAGGCTCCAATCCAGACTCTTCCTTTCTATTTGTATTCCCAGAATTTAGTATAATGCAAAGCACATAGTAAGCACTTAATAAATGCTTGTTGATGATCTAGCCATTCTGGAGAGCAACTTGAAACTATGCCCAAAGGGCAACCAAACCATGTATACCCTTTGATTCAGCAATGCCACTACTAGGTCTGTATCCCAAAGTGATCATTAAAAAGAGAAAAGGAGGGGCAGCAAGGTGGATCAGTGCATAGAGCACCAGCCCTGAAGTCAGGAGGACCTGAGTTCAAATCTGGCCTCAGACACATAACACTCCCTAGCTGTGCGACTCTGGGCAAGTCACTTGATCCCAATTGCCCCACAGAAAAAAATAAAATAGAAAGGGAAAAGGACCCACACGTACAAAAAATATTTATAGCAGCTCTTTTTGTGGTGGCAAAGAATTGGAAATTGAGGGGATGCCCACCAATTGAGGAATGGCTAAGCAAGTTGTGGTATATGAATGTAATGGAATATTATTGTGCTATAAGAAATGATGAGCAGGTGGATTTCAGAAAAACCTGGAAAAACTTACATGAACTGATGCTGAATGAAGTGAGCAGAACCAGGAGAACACTGTACATAGTAACAGCAACATTATGAGATGATCAACTATGATAGACAGCTCTTCTCAGCATTACAAGGATCTAAGACAATTCCAAAAGACTCATGGTGGAAAATGCTATCCACATCCAGAGAAAGAACTATGGAGTCTGAATGCAGACTAAAGCATATTGTTTTCACTATTTTTTTCTTCCTGTTTTTTCCCTTTTGTTCTGTTTTTTTTTCTTTCACAACATGAATAATATGGAAATATATTTAACATGATTGCACATGTATAACCTATATCAGATTGCTTGCTGTCTTGGGGCCTTTTGGGGAGGGGAAGGAAGGAGAACAATTTGGAACTCAAAATCTTATAAAAATAAATGTTGAATACCATCTTTACATGCAATTAGAAAAAATAAAATTCTATTAAAAATATTTGTCAACTAACTGACTCCATACTCTTAGACCCAGAGATCTCACTGCTAGGCATATACCATAAGAAGATTAAAGATAGAAGGAAAGGTCCCATATATACCAAAATATTCATGGAAGAATTCTTTTATGGTAGCATGAACTGGAAACAGAGTAAATGCCCATTGATTGAGGAATGACTAAATAAATTGTGGAATATTATTGTACTATAAGAAATTGTGAATGTGAAGAACTCAGAAAAGCATGAGAAGATGTATATGAACTGATGCAGAATGAAATAAATAGAACTTGGAAAATAAAATAACTACAATAATGTAAATGTAAAGAGCAAAAACCACTAAACTGAATATTGTGTAATTGTAATGCCTAACCTTGACCCCAGAAATGAGAGAATGTACCTCTTTCCCTTTGGTGCCAATGTAGGGGTCTATAGATCTGGAACACTGCTTGCACTGTTATATTTAGTTGTTACATTGGTTAGTTTTGCTGGAATGCTTTTTTTTCTCTTTCTTTTTTATTCTTTGTAATGAGGAATTGCTTGTAAGATGTTAGATATATTTAGAAATGAAGATGACATTAAAAAGAAAAGACATTAATACATTTTTTAAAAATGTAAGCATTCAAGGTCCTCCATAATTTGGTTCCAACTTCCCCTTTCGGCCTAATCTCCTATTACCCCCTTCCTT